CTTCTCGGATTCGACTGTAATTGGTCAATTTCTTACGGCTTAAGGCTTAAAACACCTATTGTAGATCCGGGGTAATGCTTCTAACTCCCTAAAGTCACTAGATTGATAAAATACCGCAAACTCGCATCCATGTTTAAGAAAAACGCGGCCATTTCAAATTCACGCATTTGTATACACGTACTTTATTTGTGAAAATGAAGCTATCGAGTACGTAAATCAATGTTGTTGAATTGTAATTAGTTTATTCATGACCAAAGAATATATAGGAATGCTTAATTTGTGTGTTCTTTAGTTTAAGGAGGTAGTCGAGTAAATTGAAAATTTTACGAAAATTCTAAAAAAATTAACATATATTGATCGTATGCATAACAATCGTTCCTTAAAATTTCAGATGTCGTAGCCACAAGATAAGCGAAATATTTCGTTTCAAAGTTCACGAATTTTACATGTAAGCCATATTCCATGCCGTCATGAAACGCACATTAATAGCGTTTTCGGCCCGATCGGGTTTGCACCAACCTGGGTTGGATTAATCTTTCCTATTGGTTGATATCACCTGCTCTACCAATAGGAGAGCACAAAACGCCATTAATCCAACCCAGGTTGGTGCAAACCTGGCCGGGCCGAAAACGCTATAAACTTGATATGAAAGGGATCGGAATTTACGAACTTTTTAAAAAACTGATATGTTGTATATAATAATGTTAGCAATGATATAAACAAAATTGGTGACTAGTAGTCACATACTTTTTTAATAAAAGCGATATGAAAATGATGATATTCGTCAGAAGACGGGGTTGCGTACATGTGACAACTTACAGAAATAAATTTATGGATCCTAGGGATTTTCTAGAAATGCCAACATTCGTCCGCCATTTTTTATGGATTTTGTCCGGTAACCCTTACAGGCCTCAGATACGAACTAATAGCGTATTCGATTTACTGACTCGACCCGACTCCGAGTCAATAGTCTGTTCTGTTTAGCTGCAAAAGAAGAGCTAAATTACGTGTAAGAAATGCAGCTAAAAAGAACAGACTGTTGACTCGGAGTCGGGTCGAGTCAGTAATCGAATACGCTATAAATCTGCCATCTTGTCACGAGGTCACATCTTCTTAACCTTCTTAACACGCAAAAGTGTGAGTTAAGTTGATTTAGCCGATTTATATATATTTTACTTTTTATTTTACATCACTCGGCTAAATCGACTAACTCACACTTTTGCGTGTTAAGAAGGTTAAGAAGATGTGACCTCGTGACAAGATGGCGGATTTAGTTCGTATCTGAGGCCTGTAAGAATGTGGCGGCGCTGCAAACGGTGGTACACGAAGAACAATAGGAGATTGTAACCCCTGGATTGACCACGGCTCGATTGGACACCACCAATCACAGCGACCGGTGCTTAGGAGCTTTGTAGTTTCAAGCGCTGTGAGTGGCTCGTGTCCAATTGAGTCGTGTCCAACTGGGTGCCACCCGTTTACGCTTGGCTTTATGACAGAAATGTGATTAAATAATTTTCTTTATGCATATGGTTATGTGGCTCTGCAAGTTGTGTGGAATGGCCCTAAGGGCTCTCACACACGAAAAGCATAAGAGAGCATAAGCATAACATAAGGCCGCTAAACCAATGAGCATCTTATCTAAATCAATATGGCGACATTATGCTAGATGCTCATTGGTCCAGCAGTCTTATATTATGCTTATGCTCTGTTCTGCATTTCATGTGTGAGAGCCCTAAAGGGTATCGCACATGAAATGCATAACAGAGCATAAGCATAATATAAGACTGCTGGACCAATGAGCATCTAGCATAATGTCGCCATATTGATTTACATAAGATGCTCATTGGTCCAGCAGTCTTATGTTATGCTTATGCTCTGTTATGCATTTCATGTGTGACAGCCCTAAAAGCCGCGACATAGACTTTTGCATAAAGCAAAATGCATAGTGCATAAACGAATCAACTAATCAGAATCTTTCCTTTCCTCCCATTCCATGGAAAAGAAGAATTTCGATTGGTTGATTCCATTATGCACTATGTATTATGCGTTATGCAAGAGTGTGTGCTGCGGCCACAAAAGTTCAGCCAAAAAGAACAGACCTCTATAGTTGTGTCAAAATCAAACAGTCGCATATGTTTTTTATGTAGCTAAAGTGCTGAAGTCTTAATTGATTTTAATTATTTATTTTGGACCTGTAAAATGGGAAACAAAAGGAAGAAGCGTGATGATTATGAATATGATCCAGCTCCTAAACATTTGCAAATAGGCCATATCAAGAATCAAGAAAAGCGTCTTATCGTTATACTGGAAAATTCTCAATTGGAATCTGTAAAAGTAAGGTTATATTTTCTTTTACATCTATTGATTGAATTACAAATTCGACCCTGCTTTTTATCTTTATCAATTATTTATTTACATTTTTATAATTTTATTTTTCTGCATCAACAAACATAAAACATAATTGCAGGTTGGAAATAGCTTTGAACTGTTGAATTGCGATGATCACACAAACATTTTGAAAAAATATAATCGTGATCCAGGCACATGTAGACCAGATATCACTCATCAGTGTCTGTTAATGTTAATGGACAGTCCGTTAAATCGAGCTGGATTGTTACAAGTTTATATACATACAGAAAAAAATGTATTGATAGAAATTAATCCACAAACCAGGATACCAAGAACATTCAAACGCTTTGCTGGATTAATGGGTAAATGTCGATGATCATTTTAACTATAGCATAATA